TTTTGTAATTCTTTCGGTTTTACATAGTCCTTAAGAGTTCATTTCCTAGGATGATATCTGGCTAGTATAATCCTGTGTCCTGTATTCAGCCTATGGTCTGATACTGTTTGTTCTCAGATCAAAGGACTTCCTTTAAGAAGTCTTGTAAGTTTGGTTTGGTTTTTCCATAGTTCCTTAATTTCTGTTTATCTGGAAATGACCTAATTTCACCATCATCATGCTGCCTATTTGCAGGATATATTATTCTTGGCTGGCAATTTTTTTCTTTCAAGGTTTTATATATGTCATCCCATTGCCTTCTTGCCTGCCTGGTTTCTGCTGAATAATCCGAGCTTAGTCTTATTGTTTCTCCTCTGTATGTGACTTTTTGTTTTTCTCGAGCTGCTTTCAGGATTCTTCGTTTGTCTTTGATTTTAGTGAGTGTGATTATGATACGCTTTGGTGATTTTCTTTTAGGGTCTACCCTATATGGGGTTCGTTGAGCTTCTTGGATGGTCAGCTTTTCATCTTTCATGATGTTGGGGAAGTTTTCTGTTAGCAATTCTTCAATGATCCTCTCTGTGTTTTCTGTTTTCTCCCCCTGTTCTGGAACTCCGATCACTCGCAGATTTTTGCTTTTGATTGTATCCCACATAATTCTCAGGGTCTCCTCATTTTTCTTTGTTCTTTTTCTGATTTTTCCTCAGTTGTATTCAAGTGTTTGTCTTCAATTTCGCTGATCCTGTCTTTCACCATTTCAAATCTGCTTCTCAGACCTTCTATGACACTGTCCATTTCTGAAATCTTGTTGTTTATCTTTTGGATGTCTAATTGTTGTTTTTGTATAATTTCTAGCTGTGAATTTATTTTGGCATTTTGTTCCTGCATTATTTTCCTGAATGCTTCCATTTTTTTGGTCTGTATTTTCCATGAATTTGTCTGCCTTTTCCATGAATTTGTCTATTTTTTCCTCATTTTTATCTGCTTTTTGCTTCAACTCTTGGATAATTCTGAATATTAGAGATTTGAATTCCCTATCAGGTAGTTCTAGAGCCTTTTCTTCTACTGGAAAGTCATCTGGTGTTTTATTTTGGACACCTAAGGATACCATCCTGTCCTGTTTTTTAAATGTTTTGATATTGTCTGCTGTCTTCAGGGCATTCTGTAGTTATTTTTCTCGTTTATTGATTGTAGATTTGTTTGTGTCATCCTTTTTTTTTTTAATTTGGCTATGTCTGAGCAGGCAGGCTGTGTGTTCTTTGTTGTTTGCTCGTCTGTGGGCACGATACTTTTTGCCTCCTTCTCCAATTGGCAGGGTCAGTCGCTTAGATATGGTACAGCAGGGCAGGTCTAGCTGAAGAGGAGTTGCTGGGATGGACTGTTTGTGGCACTTACTACAGCCACCAGGGCGGGCTGGTAATCAGTGCAGGACAGGTTCCGGTAGGCTATGCCTGTGCTGTTTGGTGGTGTGATGTTAAGCGCATCATGCAGGTAAGCAGGATGGAGGTGGGGAGATTGTGATATGTGGAGATAAGATGGGTATGGGAGAGAGGAGAGAGGAACAGGAGTCAAAAACATACAAAGAAATAAAAAAGAGCGCTAGGGGAGCTTGCCGTTGGAGTGGAGAGATGAGAGACTATGAAATGGAGAAAAACAAAAAGGGGAAGAAGAAGAAAAGAAAAGAATGAATAAATAAAAATTAGAAAGAAAAAAGAACAGCAAAGCTCTCAGGGATCTCACCGGTGTGGCTACGAGGTCTGGGGAAGTTGTTCGCAGGTGTTGAAGTACAGCCTGGCTAGGAGGTGTAGAAGTATTCAGTGCCAGGTATCCAGGGGACAGGAAGAGAAGGAAGGTACAGAGAGATGAGAAATGGTTGTTCTGTCTCCTGCTCGAAGCTCTGTGAAGCCGCTTTCTTGTACCCCCTGTTTGCTGGTCTCTGACAGGAGTCCAAGATGGTGGATCCGTGCTGCATTAGCTGATAGGAGACCTCTCCATGTATGTCTCCTCGCTCTCTGTTCTCTGTCAGTTTCTTATTCCATCTGATGTTTGGCTGAGTTCTTTATCTCTTCATTTGAAGTTTAGGATTTCAGGATTGCTGTTTTCTCTGTTTGGCTTAGTTTTTCATATCTTTGCTGTGGAGGGATGGCATGGTGCTTCTGCCTAGAGCACCATCCATGGTAATATTTTTGAAAGAGAAAGAAACAGAGATAATGCTATAAAACTCAAAAGATACGTGATACATGAGATTGGATGCTGCTGCCTATGAATCGAAACATATACTGTTATACAGTAAACTTTTTATTTGTAAATAGGGGAAGTTCAGTAAATGATAGAAAGTACAGTACATACATAAACCAGTAACATAGGTGTTTATTACGACTATCAACACATATGTATTATAGGTTATATATATACTGTACCATTATATGCAATAGCTTTGTATACAAGAGACATGAAATATATATGTTGCAAGTGGGAAGCTGTTGCATTTGCTACATCTGGTTACATTGCTATATCCCATTCTCCGATCAGGATTTTTGAACTCTATTATAACCTTATGGGGCCAAGGATGTACATGCGGTCAGATGTTGCCCAAATGGACATTATGCAATGCATGACTGTATACAAGAAAAAGTCAACATGTAGCCTATGATATTAGCCAACTGAGGGCAGATTAGACAGTTTGATTTTTCTTAAGAGACAGTAAAGTGTGGTAGAAACCGCATAAAATTTGGAGTTAGACAGACTTGGGTTTGAGTACTGTCTCTGCCATTTACCAGTCAACAGTGGAAATGCCTCTGGACCTACAGTTCTCACTGACGAAATTGGGCTAATGATAGGATTATAGATAAAATTAAGTAAAATAAAACAGGTATCATGACTGATACTTAATGAACCAATAACCAACCTGATGCCATTGAGTCGATTCTGACTCATAGCAACCCTACAGGACAGAAGAGAACTGCCCCATAGGGTTTTCTAGGCTGTACTCTTTACAGAAGCAGACTGCCACATCTTTCGCCTGCTGAGTGGCTAGTGGGTTCATACCACGGACCTTCCAGTTAGAGGCCAAGAGCTTTAACCACTGCACCACCAGGGCTCCTTGAATACACAGTAGGCATACAATATTGCATTTGTTAGTTGCAATGATTTATTTGGCAAGCATTTATGTATCATAAAAATGAGGGTCAATACACATTTCTATAAAAGTTATAAAGAGTCTTAATTTTTTTGCTCTTCTATCACTTCAAATGAAAAATAGAAAGTAATACCATTTGGTAAAAGGCACAATGAAATGGACTGCACCATGAAATTCTTGGAAAGAGAAGTAGTCTGTGACCTTATCAAATAATGCAAAAATTTTAATTAGTTCAGAGGGGACTTTTGTCATAGAAAGAAACAAGAGGACAGATTCCATGTGTTATGGACTGAACTATGTCACCACAAAATATGTACTGGCATCTTAACCCCTATATCAGTGGATGTAATACCGTGGAAGAGGGTTTTCTTCGTTATGTGAATGAGGCCATATCAATACAGGGTGTGTCCTAAACCTACTCACTTCTGAGTTATAAAAAGAGCAAGTTAGACACAGGAGCAAGCACAAACAGGGCAAGATGGATGGCATGTGAAGATTACCAACGAACAAGGAATACCAGGGCTACAGAAGCTGAAAGACATAGGATCTTCCCCCAGAGCTAAAAGAGAGAGAGCCTTCCCCTAGAGCCAGTGCCCTGAATTTGGACTTCTAGCCTCCAGAACTGTAAGAAAATAAATTTCTATTCTTCAAAGCCACCACTTGTGACATTTGTGTTATAATAGCATTAGGAAACTAAGATACCATACTCTGAAAATCACATAACAACAACTCCTAAATATAAACACTTATATTATCAATGCTTGCAGAAGGCCTGAGCAACCTATGCATGGGATAAACCAGCTTCCCTCATCCACTCTTCTGGAGGTAGCTCGTTCTGTGTTCCCTTAAGCCCAGCTCACCAGAGCTCTGCTCTGGCCCAGATAAGCATGACCTGAGAATACCTTGCTGGGAGGTCCTTGCTCACTCCTTTCCTGTCTCATCAACTTTGGGCTTTCATTAGGTTTGTACTTAGGATGAAGAGGACTGAGGACCATTCTTCTTCCCATACAAAATCAATGCAGGTTGATATTAACTTGCAACAAATACCTTTTATATCTAAGGAAAAACTACGGTCAAAGATTAACTAGTGTGAATCTAAAGTGGAAACTGCCTGATTTTCTCATTCACAGTGGTATACGCAGCATGCAGTGGGTTATCTGTTCTCATCTATTGGTTAAAGGAGAAACATGAATAAACGAATGAAACATCTAAGATTCCATCCAACAATACATTCGTTAGGGTAAGTGCTTTATCTAGATAAAGTTCTCTGGAAAGGCAGAGAAGCCACCACAGAACAGTGTCTGGGCACTACGAAGGGAAAACATTTATATGGTGTTGGTGAGGCCAAAGGAGCCCTGGTTGTGCAAACAATTAACGTGTTCCGCTGCTAACCAAGATATTGTAGGTTCAAGTTCAACCAGAGATGCCTTGATCTACTTTTGAAAAATCAGCCACTGAAAACCCTGGGAAGCACAGTTCTATTCTCTGACACACATGGTGTCACCATGAGTTGGAGTCAACTCGATAGTCAGTAGTTTTTTGTTTTTTTTTTTGGTTGGTGGGGCCACAGAACAAAGGCATTCTGATGTAGAGCACCTTTGAACTGGAGTTGCCTGAGTTATATATCTAGAATAAAAGGTAAGAACTGGAATGGACCACTGCAGAATGTCTGTATTTCACTGCAATTCAAACTAATGAGCACAGTTTGCTGACTGAAGCCCACAATAAAAGGGCTTTATATCCTGCTAGAAAGCTCAGTCAAGGGGTGCACACTCTGCAGCCCCACAGTGGAGACGGATTCTACTCCATCTGCCACCTGAAGAAAGTTTTTTTTAAAAAAAAGCCAAGAGTCCCATCTGATGTTTGGGTAAATTTCACTCACAGTGTGGCTCGTAAGGAGGAGGAGGATCTCCACAAGGTACACACTCCATGTCCTGGAAACCAACCAGCTTCGTCTTCCTGTAATATCTAGAAGATAAAAGAAAATAATCCTGTTAGCACTTTCATCTAAGCTCACAGTTGAGCAAACAGATTTATGTCATAAATTATGGGCAGTCTCCATTAACAGTTCTATGGTTTAAAAGAAATGTACTTAAAAGTTTAAATATAATGTTGTTCTTGTTATTGCCATCAAGTCGTCTCTGAATCATGGCGACCCCAGGTATAACAGAATGAAATGTTGCCTGGTCCTGTGCTATCTTCACCATCATTGGTATGCTCAAGTCCATTGTTGCAGCCACTGTGTATTTTGAGTGCCTTCCAACCTAGGGGACTTATCTTCCAGCGCTATATCAGACAATATTCTATTGTGAACCATAAGGTTCTCCTTGGCTGATTTTTGGAAGTAGATTGCCAGGCCTTTCTTCAAGCCTGCCTTAGTCTGGAAGCTCTGTTGAAACCCGTCCACCATAGGTGACCCTGCTGGTATCTGAAATACCAGTGATATAGCTTCCAGCATTGCAGTATCTTTTATAGACACATCCTTGGAGAAGCCCGCCTAAGCATGCTGTGGGAAATTGATAAATACCAATTTCACTTAACACAACATTGCTGATTTCTCTCAGTTCACACTTTGCCTACACTGGGGTGGGGATGCTGGCCAGGGAATATGAAATTAGTGATCTTTGGCTTTTCTATTGTAATTTAAACTTCAAAACACCATATAAATAAAGTGCTGTTGTTGTTGTTGTTAGTTGCTGTTGAGTCAATTCTGACTCATGGCAACCCCAACTGTACAGAGTAGACTGCCCCATCTAGAAATAATCACTATTGTTGTTGTTAGTTGCTGTCGAGTTGATTCCAATGTATGACAACATCATGTGTGCAGAGAAGAACTGCACTGGCCTTTTGGAGGCAGATCGCCAGGCCTTTCTTCTAAGGAGCCTCTGGGTGGGTTTGAACCACCAACCTTTCAGCTAGTAGTCCAGTGCCTAAAACATCTGCACCGCCCAGGGACTCCTAAATAAAGTGCTAGTTTTTAACATTTGGAATTCAGGGGCTAAAAAAGTCAAGGAAGCCATAAGGGTATTGGGAAAATGTAAGGAGACAGTTATACAGTGTGGATATGGAGAAGTCTTTCTAAGCATGCAGACACCTGGGAGTCAGAGAAGAAGAGATTAAAGCTTTGACCGCAAAAAAAAAAAAAAAAAAATTTAAGATGTCTGAAGAGCAAACATAAATAAAGCATCATTAGCATGGTTAATGGGCAAAATAAAATTGAAAAATACTTCTAATCATAGTACAGTTTACAGTCTATAACTTAAAATTTAAAAATCCTTATGGTTAAAGTGAACATTGTAATTGAAAAATAGGCAAAGGACTCCCGGACAGAACTGGAGAAAAATGTAGAACAAAATTCTACCTCACAAAAAAAAACTCCAGACTTACTGGTCTGACAGGGATTGGAGAAATCCTAAGAGTATGGCCCCCAGACACCCTTTTAGCCACTAATGAAGTCACTTCTGAGGTTCACCCTTCAGCCGAAGATTAGACAGGCCCATAAAACAAAACAAGACTAAATGGGCAAAACAGCCCAGGGGCAAGGATAAGCAGACAGGAGGGGACAGGCAAACTGGTAATGGGGAACCCAAAGGTTAGAAGGGGAGACTGTTGACATGTCATGAGGCTGGCAACTGATGTCGCAAAACAATATGCGTAGTAATTGTTTAATGAGAAGCTAGTTTGCTCTGTGAACATTCATCTAAAGTACAATTTAAAAACTTTAAAAAATAGGCAAAGGATTCTAATTCTCAAAAGAAGAACATTTCACAATTTAAAGTTTTCATAATTAAAACTAAAAAGCATGACATAATTCCTTTTTTTCACTTGCACACCTGCCATTTTTTTCCCTTTTTCTTTTTTCTTTTCTCTTTCTTCCCTTTTCTTTCTCCCCCCACCTCGCCCCATATACCACTCCCCCTGTCGTACTGGCCCACGATGTGCCACTGCAGCTAGAGTGTCCCTAGCACTCAGGCCTGCCGCTGCACTGGGCCTACACCACCCCACGCCTCCCACCACTGGACCAGCTGCTGAACAGTGGGAAGTGAGTCTGTACCTCTCCATCTGACATCCTTGCCTATCTGGCGAGGGCTGTGAATGTTCCCACATTGCAGGACCAACATCAGGAGGCAGACACCGCCCGCCTAGTCTGCCCTCAGCCACCTTGCCAAACCAGTTTACAGTGACACAGGCTCCCTACCTGCTGCTGCCTTGCCCCCGGACAAGGTGGTAAGAGCTATCATGTCCAAAGATGAGCAAGCAGCAAAGCACACCTAGCCCACACACCCTCATATGGCAACAACAACAAAAAAATCAGGATGAAACAAACGAACATACAATCAATAAATAAAGAAAATAATACTTTAATGTCTCGGAGACAGCTGATAATATCAAAACATATAAAAAAGGACAAGATGGCTCTAGCAAGTGACCAAAATAAAGAATCAGATGACCTTCTGGTAGAAGAAAAGGCAGGAGAACTACCTGATATAGAATTCAAAAGGCTAATATTTAGGGCTCTCCAAGAGATTAGGAAAGAGAGCGAGGAAAACACAGACAAAAACAAAGGAAAAGAAGACAAAATCATGGAAAACAGACAAAACCAATGAAAACATAGCCAAAAATCAAGGAAAACACAGACAAAGCAAAAGAAGAATTCAGGAAAATAATACAAGAACAAATCATCAAAATAAATAAACAATTAGAAATCATACAAAAACAGCAACCAGAAATCCAAAAGATAAAAAAAATTTTAGAAACGGACAACTCAATAGGGTGTCTTAGGAGCAAATTTGAAACAATGGAAGACAGAATCAGTGAGATTGAAGACAAATAAAGGGATGACACTTTGTTTGAAGAAAATCAGAGAAAAGAATGGAGAAAAATGAAGAAAACCTAAGAACTACGTGGGACACAATCACGAGCAAAAATATGCATGTGATCGGAGTTCCAGAACAGGGGGATAAAATGGAAAATACAGAGAAGATTGTTGATTTGCTGGCAGAAAACTTCCCAAATAATATGAAAGATGAAAAGCTGACCATCCAAGAAGCTCAACAAATCCCATATAGGATAGACCCCAAATGAAAGTCACCAAGATATATCATAATCACACTTGACAAACCAAAGACAAAGAAAGAATCCTGAGAGCAGCTCAAGACAAACGAAAAGTCACTTAAGTGGGAAACAATAAGACTAAGCTTTGATTACTTGGCAGAAACTATGCACGTAAGAAGGCAATGGGATGGCAGATATAAAACCTTCAAAGAAAAAAAACTGCCAACCAAGAATACTATATCCTGCAAAACTCTCTCTCAAATATGATGGCACACTTAGGACATTTCCAGATAAACAGAAATTAAAGGAATTCATAAAAACCAAATCAAATTTACAAGAAATATTACAGGGAGTCCTTTGGTTACAGAACGAACAACAACCTGAGTCTAAAACACAGGAGAGAATCAGCCAGATACCAACCTAGGTAAATAACTCTCAATAATAAAACAGAGCTAAAAGACTTAAAACAGGGAAAGAAGAGATATCAATCTGTAAATGACAACAATGTCAAAACAATGAAAGGGGGAATAAATGGTGTCAGTATGAAATTTTCAAATGGAGAGGAAGTCAAGGCGATATCAAGTAAGAAAAGACTGTTCAAACTTAGGAAGATAAGGGTAAATTTCAAGGTAACCACAAAGAAAGTTAACAAACTTTCTTAGAATAAAAAAGAAGAAAAACATAAAGACTCAGTAAACAAAATGTATACTAATGCAAGAAAAGAGAAAATCTACCAACAAAAGGAACTCAGCACAGGAAATAAGAGGAACAATGAAAATGTCAGCACCACAAAAAAAGCACAGCTATATGACAGCAATAAACTCATACCTATCTATAATCACACTGAACATAAATGGCTTTAATGCACCCATAAAGAGACACAGAGTGGTAGAATGGATTAAAAAAAAAAATGACCCATCAATATGCTGTCTACAAGAGACACACCTCAGACACAAAGACATAAGTATATTAAAAATCAAAGGATGAAAAAAATATATCAAGCAAAGAGTAACCAAAAAAGGGCAGGAGTGGCAATACTAATCTCATATAAAATAGATTTTAAGGCAAAATCAACCATAAAAGACAAGGAAGGACATTATATAATGGTTAAAGGGACAATCCACCAAGAAGACATAACCTTAATAAATATCTATGCACTCAATGACAGGGTTTCAAAATACATAAAACAAACTCTAACAGTGCTGAAAAGATAAACAGAAATTAACTTTCCACAATAATAGTAGGAGACTTCAACACACCATTCTCGGTAAAGGACAGAATATCTAGAAAGAAACTCAACAAAGATACAGAAGATTTAAAGGCCAAAAATCAACCAACCTGACCTCATAGACATACACAGAACACTTGATCCAACAGCAGCAAAATATATATTCTTTCCCAGTGGACATGGAATATCCTCCAGAATAGGCTACATTTTAGGCCACAAAGCAACCCTCAATACAATCCAAAGCACTGAAATAATACAAAGCATTCTCTCTGATCACAATGCCAAAAAAGTAGAAATCAGTAACAGGAAGAGCAAGGAAAAAAATCAAATACATGGAAACTGAGTAACACCTTGCTTAAAAACAACTGGATAATAGAAGAAATCAAAGAGGGAATCAAAAAATTCCTAGAATCACATGAGAACGAAAACACATTATACCAAAACCTTTGGGACACATCAAAGGCAGTGCTCAGAGGTCAATTTATAGCAGTAGATGCACTCATCAAAAAAGAAGAAAGGGCAAAAATCAAAATGTTAGCCCTACAACTCGAACAAGTAGAAAGAGAATAGCCAAAGGTCTCAAGCACCAGAAGAAAGGCAATCATAAAGATTAGAGCAGAAATACATGAAATAGAGAACAGAAAAACAATAAAAAAATCAACAAGACCAAACATTGGTTCTTTGA